TGCAGATATAGGCTTAATATCTTTCCAGTTTCCAGTCCAGTAGTAAAGAGAAAGCATTTTTCTCAGTTGCCTTCTCAAAAGTACACAGGCTACCCATTTGCCCATCCTTGAATTATGGCCAAGAAATTTGTTGCACTGTCCATTCTGGAGCTGGGGGTATTGTCAGCTCTACCAAAATTAAATAGAAAAAATATTATTTTATGGGTGACTGGTTCCCCAAAGAAAGCTGGGCATCGTTTACAGAAGGAGGAATGGCAACCAGAGAGGCAAACAAGAAATATCTGTCATATCTTTAACATAGTAGTCACAAAATATATGGTTCTTCTGATTCTTCTCTGCCCCTGATACTTTCTGGGCATCAGAAACTCAGTCATTTTCTGATGGCTTTTAGTCTACTCTTATTTTCAAGTACTAACATTACCTTAAGCTCCACTTTATGAGTGAAAAAAATTGGGGGTTTGTATTGGGACTTAAGAGCCCGTTGACAATCACTTTAGAGCTCCACTTTGTTTCTACTGTGCATTTAGCTAAAAAGAGCAGATTGGTGGCATAAATGCAATTGCAGTGTTGCTACTCTCCTCTTCCCCCTCCTTGGAAAAATGAGTGCTATTTATAGCGACTGTAAACCAGAGTCAAGTTTACTGATAGTGCCATACAACCTTTCCCTGGAATCAAGCAAGGCCGGTATTGTAAAAGAAAGGATCTTCTGTTTTGATGAAGCCACACGGAACTTTTTTTGTTGCTTTTCTGACCTCAGAAGAGAAATAGCAATTGGATATTTTACTTGTTTCTTGGGCATACAAGAAAAGTACCTGAAATGTGGATAATGTAAGGTTTAAGGTTCCCTGCCCCTCCCCCCGCCATATGAAACATATATTTTTCTGCTTTTTTTTTTTAAGTGGACCCCTTTACTTTCACAATAAATTCCAAAGTCCTGAACATGGAAAACCAGGACCTTTTCAATTCATTTATGTTGTTTTCCTAGAGTCAACTACAGCCACCCCCCAGGAGAAGAATCTTTTTTATGCCTTCATACATTCTCTTTTCTTTGCCAGAAATACCCTTCCCTGTTTCATCTCGTTACTCGTTATCTTTCAAGATGCTATCACTTCCTTTATGAAGTCTTCTTAACATCTTACATTGGGTTAAAAACCCTCTTTGATATACCCCTAGCATCCTGTACTTAGCAATATCAAAGCATTTATCGCAATGCAATGTAATGATGTGTTTCCTTCAAATGGGTATGATTTGTTTGAGAATAAGTGTTTTAAAATTTTTATTTATTTTTCCTTCTAATGCCCAACACTGTGTCTAGTATAGAGGAAGCAATCAGTAAACATTTTTTGAATAAGCGAAAACAATCTGAGTTTGAATATGAATTCGAGTGAAAGGGACTGTGAGAGACCTATTATTTGTACAAACCTTTGAAATTTTGTGCATTCTATGTTAGTTTACTTTGAACACGTGATGTCTCTAAAAAGCTTGGTAGAAATTTTCCTACTGAACATTATTGAAAATTTTATTAATTTGAGAACTTTATGTGTATAGATACATTAGCATATTCCTGGCATATGCAAGCACTGCAAACTATTCAATAAATGATGGCTATGTAATAATTTGTGTTTGAAACTCTCAGAGCTGACAGCACAAATTCATTTTATTATTCTCCATCCAGTGAGAGGTATATTTGAAATAATCGTAGGAATAAACAGAATTTTAAATAATATAGAATACACAAAATGGACTACTTTGCATTTCTTTCTTTGGAAGAGGAGTTATTGCTAGTTGGATTTATGATTTCTGACATTTGGTTTTGCTTTCAAGCACGGATCAGCTTCAGACAGCACTTAAATAGGCTGGCCCTCTGAGTATCTTGAGAATCATGTGCATAGGGATAAATTATGTGAAGTTCAATAAAACCCCTTTGCCTTTCTGCATGCTACTCATGTCCATGTTCTTTACTCAATTGACTGAGCTTCTCAAAGGCGGGCTCTATTTCTGATTTATCAATCATTATTTCTAATACATAGTACAGTGCCTGATATACAGAATGTTGTTGATTTAAAATGAACTATATTGGAATTATTCTGGAAAGAGAACCAATATTTATGGTGTGACCTATTCTGTTCCCACTGTGTCCAACGCATTATCTAATTTAAGGCTCACAGCAATTTTATGAAGCAGGTGTCTCATGAAGCAGGTATCATTATTGTAGAATTGAGAATTTTGAAGTTCAGAGAGGTAAGTAATTTGTCAAAGATGACTCAGGCCTATCAGATTTCAATCTATATTCTTCTACCCAGTATGTACCAATAAGAGTACCTTCTCACTGGGCTATTGTGAAGATTAAATGAGGTAAGGTATGGAAAGCACCCAGAAGGGTTCCTGGAACATAATAAGCAATATATACATCTTTGCTGTTCTTATTACTTTGTTATTTTTCAGAGTAGATCACAAAAGAATGTATATTGATTTTTTTCCTTATGCCCGACTTAATACAAATGGCATTGTTATTTAAATGAGAAGAAAAAAAAAACACCTTAAATTTTAGATGAGTAGTTTCTTGACATATTTAACAAGTTAAAATAGTACTTTAAAATTTGGTTTGGCTTAATCCGTAAGACTGTTAGGTCCTTGGGCAGCTGTGTGTAATTAGAATCTATATATCATGGTCTACCACTGTGCTACCCTGAACAAGCCCTCCCATCTGATCTTGTGAAGCTAATCAGAGTCGGGCCTTGTTAGTACTTGGATGGGAGACCACCTAGGAAGACCAGGTGCTGTAGGTGTAAAAAATAAAATAATAAGGAATCGTACCTTGACAAGGTCCTTGCAATCTGTGAGGTCAACCAAGGGTTGCCTTGCCTTAAAAAAAAAAAAAGAATTACATATTATGCTTTCTTCCAGCCTGGAGTTGGGAACAGCAGCAGCTTTTTTGTTGCCCTTGATGGATTTAATGAGAATTTGCTGGGTTTTCATGGTGGACCACATCCAGCGCTGAATAGTTTTACATGAGTCTCTTCCATTTCTATTACTCTTCCAACTCAGTGTCTCACATACCCTTCAATGTCTGTAATCATGTCAACTGGAAACACAAAGTAGAAGTGGGGTGAAGGCAACAGTGGGGTGAAGGCAACAACTCTTATATGCAGGGTCTTAAAATATATGTAAATGTGTTTGATGTTCCCTGGCTATCCTCTAAAGCACTGAGAAATTTAAGAATATTTTTATTTTGGTAGAGTTAGTGAAAAGTTAGACCTATGTCTGATCACCTAAGGTTTGACATTTGCCTCAGCCCCTTGAAGAGTATAATAGTTTTCTATACTCATTCCTCTTATTTCAACCAAGTCTTCTTGATTTGTCTGTGTCTTGCGTGTGTGTGTGTGTATGTGTGTATGTGTATATATGTATATGTGTGTGTGTGTGTGTGTGTGTGTGTATATGTGTGTGTGTGTGTGTGAGAGAGAGAGAGAGAGAGAGAGAGAGAGAGAGAGAGAGAGAGAGAGTGTGTGTGTTAGTTCAAATTCCCCGAGGTCTGCCTTTATAGATGAGAAAACTAAAGTGTTTCATTAATCTTCACAGAGTTGCCTGGCGAGTCTGAACTTCTTACTAAACGAATCCTAAATGTTTGGTAGCAACTCTTGGCACTCTCCAGAACTTTGAAAAAGTTGGAAAGACTTGAGCCAGTTTTCCCATCCCCACCATTAGATTTTCTGGTCATGCCCAGGAGTAAATAGAGTAATATCAGGGGGGGCACCTCCCTCCCACCTTGTTGGGAGTTTCCTCTGATCAACTATTCTCCCAAGATTGCATCCTGCCAATGACCTCACACATTTTTCTTGTCTCTGTGTAAATTGCTATCTTTTCAGGAGGTACATGACAGCCTCCTTTTGCAGCGGCCTCCATTTGTACAAAAGCTGTTATTACGGAATAAGTTTAATGGGTCGTGAATTTTGTGGAGAAAAGGGAGGATCTCTCGATGACTTAGTATGTACCAGCCATGGACCTATTGGCTCCACAAGGAGTGCATTAGGCTAAATATTTTTAGCCCATTGACTCTGGAGGTAATAACCCTAAATGCTTCATTAAATTTTCATGGGTGAATGACAGAAGCTATGAGGGAAAAAAACCAAACTCAAATCCAATCCGCCACATTAGCTTTATTATTACACAGCTGGAGGGCAGGCCGCGTGGCCCCTAAAAAGCATAAAAATAAACTTTTAAAGGAACTGTTGCCTGTCTCTTCCTTTCTCAGGCCCTGATCCAACGGGGCAGCACTTGATTTGATTTTTCTTCCCACACCTGGCATTTGGGCCTCTGGAGGCGAGTATACCACAACAGGCATTTACTGGAGTTGAATCCAGTCTCAGGATAGAAAAATTTCCAGCCCGACACAAAATTTTCTGCCGTTTATTGGATTTTTGTAAACTAGGACCAGCCCTGGGGCCTTCTCCTGAGCCCTGTTCTGAGGCTTCTCCTCTCGCAGGCATTCTATGAATGGGAGTATGGAGAGTAAGTAGGAAGGGGGAGAGCTGGGCGTTGAACTGGGGCCTGCATACCCTCAGGGGCCCGAGCCCCTCCCTTGGATTGATGAAAACGTGACAGATGCAACCCTCCCTTCCGCCCAACTTTGCCTAGGAAGCTTCAGTGTAAACCAGAACTGCCAAACCAGGTTTGGCGGCTGGGAGCTAGCGCCCCCCTCCTGCCAAGGGGCGTGGGGGCAACATATCTTTGCGGAACTTGAGTTTCCAGTTTTCGCCCGCTGGAACTCTTTATATTTGGGTGCGCGTATGTTTAGAAGCTTAGATAGGAGAATAGGCCCTAGAGAAAAATGAGGGATGCCAGGCGAGGGCTGCTGCTGCTAGTGATAGTGACGAAAACACTGGGTACTTTGTGAAATCCGAGTCTGGTAGTTTTTCTCACTTCTCTCCCTCACCCCCTCCCCGCCGGCGCAGCCGGGGCGGGGACCCCGTGCTCTCTGCTTGGCTCTCCCCCTCCATGCCGGGATGGGGAGTGAGCGCAAGGGCTCCAGAGGAGCGACTACGAACCGCGGCGCCCCCGCTCGCTCGCTGGCTCGCTCTTCCTCCTCTTCGTCGCCACCGCGGCTCCGCTAAGCTCTCGGAGCGCGCTCGGGCGGCGCAAAGAGTGCCCGGGTGGGAGCGGGAGCAGGAGCCGCGAGGCCGGGGCGAGGGACGCGCGGCGGGCGGCCAGGAGGCGGCGGCCGGGGAGTCATCAGGTGAGTGGCGCCAACCGGGACCCGGCGGGCGTGGGGCGGGCGAGGCGGGGGCTGCGGGAGGAGGCGGGTCTGCACGCGGGGAGGTCTCCTCCCCCTGCTCTGACGCGGGGTCTGTGGCTCTCGGGAGGATGGACCCAGCTCCGCGCTCGCCGGGGCTTCCCCGGGCTGGAGAGCGCGCCTGAGTGCCGCCGCCCGCCGGGCATGGGGAGCCGCTTCCCGGGCGGCTGCGGCCGCGGCGTGCTTGCGGCGAGCCGAGGTGAGGCGCGGCAGGGGCAGGAGTTCGGCAGCGGCAGGTGCCCTAATGGGGACACGGCGTCCGGACACCTGGGGCCCCTGGGCGCGGAGGAGGACTCCTGGGGCGCCCCTCTCAGGAGTTTGGCTAAGGGTGCCGCAGGGTCTGCGACTGCAGTTTTCCTTCTGCTTCCTCCACTTGCTGGGGGAAAGAGGGGCGACCGGTGCTCCTTCCTTCTGGGTCTCCCCTGCAACCCCCAGTCTCCCTACATCTGACCACGCTTGGTCCTCCCTCCAGACCTGCTCACCCCAAATACTCGTCTCTCTCCGGGACTGCTTGCACCCTCTTTCCTTCTACGCTCCCGCCTCTACGCATCCACGGACTTTCCTTCTCCCGCTCCAAAAGCTACCCTGTGCTTCCGAACCCTTCTCCCTGACTCGCTAGCGGCGTCCCCGAGCCGGACCCTCTTCCTTACTCGCCCCGAACCCGCTTTTCACTTCTTTACTCCCTTACTCCTCTGCCGCGCTGAGGTTCTGCCCCGATCTGTGGAAAAACCGTATTTATCCCAATAACCCCTACCCTTTCGCAGACGCCATTCAGAGTCTCCTCCGACCCCAGCCCTTCCCCGGTCTTCCTTCGACTCGGTTCTCTGCCTCTCCCACCTCCATTCCACTCCCACCCCATAGGTCGCCTCCCCAGCCAGCCCCTCATTTCTCTTCTCTAGACTCGACGCTCTACCTCAGGGACAGAGCGCAGGTTGTTTTTGTTTTTGTTTTTTTCTTATTCTCTCTCTCTTTTTCCCTACTGGGGAAACTTTAAAAATCCCTGTGGTTTGGCTCATAAAGAAGCCCTAAAAGGAAGACTCAGCTGCCAAGAAAACCTGGAGTCAGCGATGGTGGGAGTTTGTGTCGCGGCGTCGGAAAGGGGCTGTTGGATGAGTGTACAAAGTAAATTTCGAAACGATGGTTGCTGTAGTCGGGACTGTCCTTCCCCCGCTGCCCTCGTCCCGCGGAGTAGTACTGTGACCCTTGGTGCGACGGCGTGTCTTTTCTCTGCACTTTTTAAAGAGCCCCCCCCCCAATTTTTTCTTGGTGGCGGTGCCGGTGGACGGGACTGGGGGTAGGGGGTTCCAAGGCAAGCCGCTAAACGAGCCTGATGCTACTTAGCTCCTGCGTAGCTACCCCCACCCTCCGGCCCCGCCAGACTACGTTTCACTCCCTGTAAACTCCACTCCACCCCCAACTGCATCACACAAGTTCTCATTGTTGGGGGTCTGCCTGGGCACTTCCGCTGGGGCTGGGAGAGTCTAAAGGAATGGGGTGGGGGTGGGGAGCCCGGGGGCGCTTGGCAATAGCGGTCTGGCTCTCGCTGGATGCTCGGCGGTGGCGGGCGGAGCGGAGAGCGCCGCGGCGCGGGCATCTGGGCGCTCGTGCGTGTGTCGGCGAGGGTGGGGTGCGTGCCCGCGTGGGTTGGTGCCTGCGGGTGCGTTGGGATGCCGGCTCACGCCTGGGCTTATCTCCTTATAAAGAGGGGCCAGTGGAAAGCCTGCGGAAGCGAAGGCGCCTTTTGCTGCCCCAGAGCTGGGCCGGCAGGAGGGCCCTCCGAGATGGATACTAAAAAGCAGCTTCTAGCGAGTCGCTGGGACCTGAGCGAGGATCTTCTGTCGCTTGTCCCTCTTTTCTGCTCCCCTCCTGCTGGCCCCTTTCAATGCACTTTCAAAATGTTGATGTTTTTTAATAAAGGCTTTGTGGGGGTTCCGCTGACACTTCATAACACTTAACATGTTTTCAAGTAATCATATAAAGGTAGCTTACGTTCAGACCCCCTAATTATCCGGTTCACATTTGTACATTTATGTGCCAATTATAGGTCTTCGGGAAATCCATAACATTATAAACCATTCCCACCTCCTGAATTAGCATCTATTGTTTTTATTATCTCAACGATAAGTGATTCTGGATGAAACCCTGAATTGAACAGGCTTGAAAATAAATGTGCGGGGTAGTGGGGGCGGGGAGAGGAGAGGTTGGCTGGAGTAGGAATGCTCTGCGCCCCTCACCCTCTTTCACTTTGTATCCTGACAAGGCTTGGTGACAGTTCTGGAATCTGAAAAGAATCAAAGATTTTTCTTGATTTCCTATTGCGAAGGGCGACCTAATCAAAGCTGTATAAAAGTCAACTTCTAAGCAATCAGAAATTGCTGATGTCCTTGATTGAAACCCTAGCATTCAAATAGAGTATTGAAGAACTCGCAGACATGGCTTTTGAAGCGCTATTGTTCTTTTCCGTACTCAGAGGCCCTCTTAAAGGTTTAGGAAGTTCAAAATGAGATGATTTGAAAGACTGGAATTGTAACTATTTGGCAACGCTGAGAGGATCGGCAGGGATGAGAGAAGAGGCCGAGGTGGGAAGTGCAAACGTGTTGTTACTATCTTCTTGGGAACTGTGCCGCTATCAAGTGGGAATTCATTTCTACACATCAAGTTGGCAATTAAAGCTCTTCCCAAAGCAGATTTAGAAAATGATTTTTAGTGGGGTTTTTTTTTTTTTTTTTTTGGTGGTTTGCTTAAGGTCTGAATAGGCATATCTGAAACATTTAATCATGTTCATTGTATTCAACAATAAAATCTGAATAAAAATTACTTATTGTTGATGAAGCTCATCTCTCAAGCTGTTTCACAGTATGTTTCATTTACATGGCATACCATTGTGTAAGGCTGCCAGGAAGAGATGGTATCACTTATTGTTCATTTTCTCCCAAAGCCAGAGAGGAATATGCTTCTTTACCCGTTTTTGCCCTCCAAAGTAATTTTTCTTAAATGGGTGGGTGTTTGGCTTGGTACCTGATAGTACCCATCTTAAACATAGCATTTGGTAGATTTCAGATGCCTGGAGCCACCCTGCAGGCAGATGAAGAATCTAATTGAGGCAGCATTTCATTTTGATAATTCACTGAAGTCAAACATTTTGTTTTTGCTGGGATTTAATTCTCCTCAAGCTAATAAAGCTAACAAAGCAAGAAAATCACAGTTTATGTCTTTTAGATGGCACTTTAAAAAATTGCATAAATTGAAGGCTGTTGTGAGGAACTTTGGATGTTATTCAGGGCTTACTGTGACAAAGAATGTTCACTAGTTAAGTGATTGGGGTAAATCACTCTCAGAACCCCAGTTTCATTGTTTGCAAAACAAGAACAGTATTATCTACCTTGTGGGTCTTTGAGCAGTTTTATGGGGAAAAATATCTTTTGGGTGCTTTGGCATGGAGCAGGATTTCAGGAGAATGGTAACTTTTAGTAATCGAGAGGAAACTGGGGTACAGAGAAAGTTGGTAACTGACCCAAGATCACACAGCAAGTAAGGTATAGAACTAGGATTTTATACAAGCATTCTGGTTCCAGGGTCTGTTCTAACCATTGTGTTATGCTGCCTCTGAGTGGGAAGGTGATCTCAGTTATCTCCCAGGAAAGTTGTAAAATGTAATGGGAAATAATGGAATAGTTAGACTTCCTGTAGGTGCAAAGTACAGATTGTTCTTTATTTCATGTGCTAACAACACAAAATGGGCGTTCCTCTGTTGCCAACAGGGCATTGGGCTGATGGTAGATGGTAGATGCTTTGAACACTTGTGACTTTGTGACAGGTATTGGTCAGTGTTGATTCACATCTGTCTACTGTTAAAATATGCATTAATCAAGTATAAAGAGATTGCATTACTGCTCTTGTCTATTACCAACTGTGGTAAGCATAGATTCTTAAAATCAAAATATGATATAACAGGTGATAAGAAGTCTGGGCTTGGGTGCTAGACTGCCTGGGCTCAAACCTTAGCTCCCCCAGCCCTGCCAGCTCTGTGGTCTTGACCAATTTATTTAACCTCTCTGTGCTTCAGTTTTCTTTGTAACAAAATAACGGTACTTGCCACATAAGATTGTTGTGAGGATTATAGGATTTAACACAAATTGCTTAGAATAGTACCTAGCATGTAATGTTACTTAGCTATTAATGCTACCCTTCAAATGAGATAAAAATTTCCTGCCTTGATAATAAGAAGTTTTCTGTTTGCCATTAATATCTTGAGATTTAAGTATCTGGGTGTGTGTTTCTTTGTTTGTGGTTCGTTTGTTTGTTTGTTTGTTTTTGGCACTAACCAGAAGGTTGAGGAGAAAAGATATATTTCAACATTTCAGACAAAGGTTTTGTTTTGTTTAGCTTGCTGGAAATATTTCCTTGAACATTTTTTCCTGTTTTTGACAGGCATTGTGAAGCATACACAATGATAAAATCTCCATGCCATCGCACTTTTCAGCAATTATTTTTAGGAAAATAAAATGACTGTTTGATCGATTGAATTCTAGAAGTAGATTAGTCAACTCTTCCAATTTACAAATTGGAAAGCAAACCAGGCTTGGGGAGATGCGTAACTTTATAGCTGAGAGGCATTATCAGAATCCAGAGTTTTTGGACTCTTTGTCCAGTGCTCCTTCCTTTGGACCAGATTGTCTCTTGTACTAGGACAGGGAAGTGATTTGAAAACAAAAATAAATCTTGGAGGTGAGGAGGTATTGCCAGGTTAAGGGCAGGAGCCAACCAAATATTCCGTAATGAAAAAAAAAAAGAATGTCTAGTAGGAAAAGAAAACCCCTACTCTGGTAGTACATTTATATCCATGAAAACTAGCACTGAACTCAGTCTATGAAATGTGTATCAGGATATGAACCCATGTTAAGAAAACAAACAAACAAACATTAAGCCAATGAATCACTTGA